AATCTCATTCACTTCATTTATTTATTAATTAATTAATTAATTACTTCCTTCTTTCACTTCGTTCCGTGTCGTCTCGCCTCTTTCTCTTCTCCTCCTCACTGTCTTCTTGCTTCAACCTATCCGCTTACCATTTGAAAAACGCGCCATGTCTCCACCATCTTGCTTGTTGTCGCGCACCTCCACTTCACCCTTAAGCTTCGTCCTTAAGGGCAGCTCTCCATGCGCTTGCGGCGATTCTTCCTCCGCCATCTTGCTTGTTGCCGCGTGCCTTCGCTTCGCCCTTAGGCTTGATCCTGTGGGGCCGCTCTCCATGCGCTTGCATCGACCCTTCTCCGGCCATGTTGGATGTTTGCGAACCGACTTTTACGCTCTACGCTTTCCCTCGCGCGGAGATGCCCACGTGTTCGTACGATATATCGAAACTTGCTCGACTGACGCCATTATTTATATACTATCAAATCGCGAAAATACGAAAATAGCCAAAACTAATCACCGCGTGCATTCAATATGCCGCATTTGCCCTTTCCCGCACTCTAAATCCCTAATGACATTTATTAATTAATTAATTTAATTTCTGCGACTTTCTCTTGCAACTTCGACATGTCGCACGACCACGTGTTTGCGCAAGTCCTTCTTCGAGGGCGCGTGTTCGCGCAAATCCTTCTTCGAGGGCAACTTTCACCCTTAAATTCCACTATTTTCACTCGCGATATATAAAAATAATCGTGTTTAAGTCGCGCACATATTTATTTATTCCGCGGTCGGCCCGAACATTCGTTTCCTCGTTTTCGATTACTCATGGGTTTGCACCCCATGCTTTCCCACGCGTCGCGTGGAGGTTGCCATTACCGAAATTTCGTTTTTTATTTATAAATTCATTATTTCACTCCCGATTTTTACAAGACTTTACCGCTCACTTCCCCCACGGTCTCCCCTCACTTCACAACACTATTTATCACACTTTAACCACTTTTTCCCACGATAATTGAACTTTATCGCGGAGCAACCCTTCGCGGAGCCACCCCCGAACACGTGCGCTCGCCACGACAGTCCTTCGCTCCTCTTAAGTGTCATACACCGTGGGTTTCTCCAAGGGCCTTCATCGAAAGGTCAAGCGACCATCGACTGGCCGCGTAGCTGACCTAGGGCCCAGGGAAATCGCGCTGCGTTGCCGCCTTTGCCAGCAAACGCAACCCCCGCCAAATCGTACCCCCGCTTCAAGGAAGCGTGCTTCGGGTATAAGAGGGAGGTCGTACGATTTGGCGGGATTTAGGTTTCAATAATTGGTTAACCCCACCTTCTCGAGGGTTGGCCTAAATGACAGCGTAGATTTTAAAAGAAGAAACTCGAGAGTAAAAAAAGACTTCTGTAATCAGTTTTAGTCTTGCAAGTTTCGGAGAGAAATAAGACGTGCGCTCCATAATAAACTGTCGCAGAAAAACGCAAATCTACTGTGTCATTAATTTATACACACTCACCTACTCCTAAAAAACCTTTTTATGTTTTCTTTTTATGAAACTCTGACTAATATATCTGTGTCATTTTCCTAATTAATATGTAGAAGTGTAGAATGTATATGTATGGAATGGCAACCACTGCGAAACTGCGTGTGTAAATGTTGACTTAATGAAAGGAACAGTGTGAAATAGGTTGTATAAATAAAGTGTGAAATGCTTTGCGAAGTGGTTGGTAGCGATCGGGAAAAAGTAATGATAGGGATTAAGTATAGATACGGGATTTGAACGAACATAACGTGATGAAACAGCAAAATACGAATTGTTTGATTTTACGATTTGGGATTTATAGTTGAATACGTTAATCATTATTTGTTCTTGTGTTCTCTGTTGTGTTTTCTTAATAAAGGAAGCATAGTTTATAAAATTCTATTCCTACAAATATAACACCAAACACAACGTAATTCGGAACATATTTGTAATTTCAAATGTTACGCTTACATTGAGGACTTTACTTTGTTGTATGCCAGCCTATACAATTATATATAGGGTGTCCTAGTTTTTTCTAGCCAAACTTTGCAAGCGTGTTCTACACGCAAAAATTGTAAAAAAATGTTAAATGAACATATGCTCTTAAATGTTTTCTTAAGGAATTACAACTAATAATACAAAATTATAATGAACTGGCGTTTCTTCGACACAGCGTACAAAGGTATTATAAATATCTCTATTTCTGTTTATATAAACTTTTATGTCTACATGCTCTGGTAGTTGATATCCACATTTTTTATTAACGTTCTAACCGAATTAACATTTCGAAATGATGTCCGTTATTACGAATACGTCGACGAAATGCCAGTGCATTATAATTTTGTATTATTAGTTATGAGTCCTTAATAAAACGTTTAAAAGCATAACTTCATATAACATTCTTTTTCTTACATTTGCGTGTAGAACACGCTGGCAAAGTTTGGCTGAAAAAAACTGGGACATCCTGTATATCCTGTCCAACTACTCAATCCCTTCGATGACCACGATAAAATATCGAGCTTATTGTACGCGTTAAACAAAAACTTGTCTAAAATTCTGAGTGGGATCAAATTTTATTAAATACAATAAACCTGAGTCCCTACGGAATACAACAACTTCAATAAATTATTGCAAGTAAATATGACTCGAGCTACGTCATATTTGCTTTTACTTTATTCAGAAAAACGTCACGAATATGATGGAACAAGTTGTATAGAAAATGGATTGAAAATAAAAAAGTTAGCGAGGCATTGGCATTGTAAACAATTGAATAGACTTTTTATCGTTGCCAACTGTCGCAGCGTCTCTTTCTTTTTCATTCCAAGTTATATTGTGTTTGACCTCATTTTAATAAGAAAAATAAGAAAAATCTATTGGTAAAAGTTGGATGATGAAAAAATAAAAAATAAGGAAGTTTTATTGTTAAATAATCAAGATCGGAGAAAAACAGAATAAATACTACTAACACACTTTCAAATACAAACCAATTATTTAATATTTAACGTATAGATAACACATTTTAACTTTATGATTAAATAATAATTCAGGGATTACTTTATCGTATACCAATTACATTGCGAACGTTTACATTATATGAACAACAAGAAGGAAGTGCATTTTTCAATTATTTTTGTTTCTAACATCGCACATTTTTAACACTGTAAGATGACGCCACAAGCTAAATTTATTAATAATTTAACATTTATATTTACACAAGTATAGTTTTAGGAATATACCCCAACTCGAAACATCAGTTACATTTCTCGTCGAGCGAGCTTTGTACGTTTCGAGGGGTCTTACTCACCAAGTGGTGGAGATAATATTTTTGCTTGTATCGAATGATTACTGTATTAAGAATGAGAACATATGTTATAATAAAACGAATTCATAAGTAATTTTGTTATATAGTTATAACGAAAATGCAATAATTAAAAATACATAGTTGTGAGAATGAACTCTACTACGTCTGCTGCTTTCGACACACATTTGTAGGCGAAATTTAATGAAATTGTGCCAAGAGTTTTTTGCGAATAGTTCAGAAACTAAACCTGATTGGTGATTACATACAGGGTTTGTTCAATAAGTATCCGGACTGATTTTTTTCTGCTAGTTTGGTAGGTCAGGGAGCAATCTCTATTAGCTAGATCGATGCGGAAAGTTGTTATGTATAATAAAAATCTAGGTTCATTTGTTTTCCACCATTTGTTTCGTTTATATCGTGCTTGAAGTGGAAGCGTATTTAACGTTCGCGTCGAGAATCAAAATGCAACGAAACATCGAGCAGCGTTGTGCGATTAAATTTTGCGTTAAGCTAAATAAATCTGCTACGGAGACATTTAATATGATTCGTCAGGCCTACAAGGATGATTCCATGTCCAGAACGAGTGTTTTTGAGTGGCACAAAAATTTCAAAGATGGCCGTGAAGACGTTGAAGACGAGCAACGCGTTGGACGACCGTCGTCGTCCCGATCCGATACGAATGTCGACAAAGTGCGGGAAATTTTGAATTCCGATCGCCGTTTAAGCATTCGTTTAATTGCACAGGAATTAAATTTAACGAAATCCACTATTCATTCTATCGTAACCGAGGATTTGCAAATGCGAAAAGTGTGCGCTAAATTGAATTCCGATCGCCGTTTAAGCATTCGTTTAATTGCACAGGAATTAAATTTAACGAAATCCACTATTCATTCTATCGTAACCGAGGATTTGCAAATGCGAAAAGTGTTCGCTAAATTGGTTCCGAAAGTTTTAACAGAGGAACAGAAAGAACGCCGTGTGACGATTTCTCGTGAACTTTTAGAATGTTTGGAGAGGGATTCAAATCTTTTAGACAGAGTGATTACCGGTGACGAAACATGGATTTTTGAATACGATCCGGAGTCAAAAATGCAAAGTGCTGAGTGGCACACAAGCGGCTCTCCTCGACCGAAAAAGGCTCGCATGAGCAAGTCAAGGATAAAATCGATGCTTATTGTCTTCTTTGACGCAAAAGGTGTTATCCACAAGGAGTTTGTGCCTGCTGGACAAACAGTGAATGGCCAATTTTACGCAGAAGTGCTCGAACGTTTGAGACTTAAAGTACGCCGCGTACGAAGGGAGATCGCGAATTCCTGGATGCTCCATCACGACAACGCGCCAAGTCACACGTCGTTAATTGTGAGACAGATACTGACGAAGCATAACATCACAACACTACCCCAACCTCCCTACAGTCCAGATATGGCACCCTCTGATTTTTTTCTGTTCCCTCGCATTAAAAGAAGCCTTAAAGGACATCGTTTCGGGACGATTGAGGCGGTTCAAGCGGCTTCGACGGAGTGCCTGAACAGTCTTACGCTTGCCGACTTCCAGGAAGCGTATAAACAATGGAAAACCCGCTGGCAACGGTGTATTGATGCAGGAGGGGCATACTTTGAAGATTATTAACTCAATGTACGTATATCTTCAACGCACTTCATTTTAGGACATCAATCCGGATACTTATTGGACAAACCCTGTATGTATGAAAGACTGATTCTATGATGTATTAAAAAATCATCGAAATAAGAGAGGTCGTGCGTTTTCGAAATCATTGTCGAATTATTGTTATGTATTATTACAATTTATATGATCTTAGAAGTGTTATTAAGTATTATAAAGAACAGAAAATTCATTTTACGAAGTAATAACATAATTCAGAGAAAAAATATTTCGTATTGAACCTCTTAAGATGTTTCATTCAAAATCATTGTTCTTCAGATTCTTAAAAGTATATACTGTGCCATCAAAATAAGTATTAATAACGTCCAGGTTAAATTACATAGACTTCATAATATTTGAAACGTATTCACAAAAAAACAGAGTTAATGCATTTATATTTGTTCTATATAATACCAATTGACTTTTCTTCAACATTAATTTATAATTGGCTTATGTTATAATACCCCAACAACATGACTCGATACATTTGGCATGTACCTCGTGTTAAAACAATACACTTCATTTAGTCGGTATTAAGATATCTTTTCATTTTCAAAATTCATACTGCTTCTGCGAAATTTCTTCTGTTAAAAATTACAGGGATCTGTTTAGCAACTTGAAATCGTTGGAATTATTGGATTTGTCATATAATCGATTGCAAGAAATTGAAGATACTAGTTTTAATTCCCTGAAGAATTTACGGAGTGCTGATTTATCCTATAATCAACTTACATTGTCGTCTTCGATCAAAAATGAATACGGAAACAAATCACCTTTTCACAACTGCACTTCTCTCAATGTATTAAATTTGCGCAACAACAATATATCACACATATTCGAAGACTGGGTTAAGGACCACACACAGCTGCGGATATTGAATCTGAGGCACAACGAAATATCTCACATATCAGTAAGTTAACCAAAAATTCCGTGCTCCACGAAAAAGTACAATTGAAAAGCTGTAATTATAAATCAATACAGTTACATAACTCGTATCTGTTTTATCAAAGAGTTATATTTGTCTGTAATATTCCACAAATTGTTTCTGTTTCTTTTTCTATAATTTCAATATTAGCATTTTCTTAATTAATAGTTCGAAATAACAATAACAATATAAACAAAAGTTTTGTTTATTTCGGCCATATCTTCTTTAAATATTGTTTAAAAAAATGAGCTATGTCCGAATATATTTAGTGAGCTATGTTCGAATATAATTAATCACACGTTAAGCATTGTTTGTGAACGCGTGGAAATTACTGGACTACTGAATTAAATAGTAGAATGAGAATGTAAAGTGTACTAATAGTCAATGATGCCTACACAATCTCCACTTAAGTGGGCTTATGCATTCAAACAAATTTAAATAAGAATATTTAATACATACTAAATAAAAAAGACAGCGACCATAAATGGTATAATCATCACATTTGTTTAATTATAATCTCTAAATAACTTCTTTGTTGTATGACTTTATTTCAGGCTGAAGATCTACAATTTGTATCGGACAACATTACAGTATATCTCCAACATAATAAAATACAGCATATTTATATGACTCGGGCAGAAGAAATAGCGAAATATCAAAATAAAGCACGTGCCGTAAACATATTCGTTGGCAGCAATCCTATAATATGTGACTGCAATCTATATGATTTTGTCCGCTACTTGGAAGGAAAAATGCATCCTTACGTTCGAAATTACTTCATTATAAACCCAGGATATGATGTATACCCAGGATATGATTTAATTTGTCATGGACCGGAACAGATGTATAATGTGTCTGTGATTAGTTTAGAATCAAAGACTTCCAAATATCTAAACTCGAAATCACATGTAAAACAGTGCATTTGTAGAGAAAAAGAAAGGTACAGAATATTTGTGGTTGATTGTGCCTCTAAATATTTAGTGGATGCTGAAATTCCCTGGGAGTCTGCATTATCACATAAAAATATATTAATACCAGAGCTGGTACGTAACATTATATTGTTATGTTATAATAATATGTAATATACGAATATAATATGTTACGCTGGTACGTAAGATATTATATTCTTAAGCAATTGAAATTTCTTCATTTCTCATAAATAATTTTATTGAATTTAGTTCTATTGAATGTCACTTGAAAACAATAAAACATTACTTCAATATAACATAAAACTGATGCAACTAGAATATTTGCATATAAAATATACATTTTCAAAAAGTCTTAAAATGTTTTATTTGAAAATTATTTAGCTTCATCTGATGAACAAGAATTTTATATCCGCATGCTTTGAGTTGAGTGGAATATTATCATAATTAACGACATTTTATTTCAGCAACAATTTTTGTAGTATTCAACTTTTTGTCATAAACAGTCGTACCCTTTCATCCTGTAAAGATTTTAATTTTTCTTCTGTAGCACTTAAACAACTAACAATAAGTGACACATTTTCTTTTGTTATATCAAGAAATACTCGATTTTAGAGAGTGAAACTTATTCTCAAAGATTTACTGTCTGACACGAATAACTGGAATTTTTTATGAGAAACTGAATTTTTTTTAACTTGATTTGCACGATTTTACGTACAAAAATTTACGATTTCAATTTACACGGTTTTCTAAGGAACCTGTCTTCAGTGTAAATCGGAGAATAGGTGCAATCTCAAAAAAAGTTTCAAGGCTTTTATAAGAGTTTGAAAACTGTATTGATGCCTTTAAAATATGCAAATTAATTTGAAATTCATTTTAATGCTTTATCGCATTACTTCAAGAAAGAAATCTATGGTGGCGGTATATTTTTTATATTTACTAACTGCCGAACACCCTCGTGTTTTAGAGAGTGACAGTTAAGAAAAGTCTATTATTTGTTAAAATTGCGAGAAAAGAAGGTATAGCAGTTAGCCGATTTATGGCAAGCACATGCCTATGGACCTTCAAATCCTTTTTATAAATAGAGTAGTATAAAAAATGTAATATAATACGATTTCCAGAATATTATGTATAGAAATCAGTCGTGCACCGAACGGAAGGTATAAAATGTACGTATAACATCAACGACAGTAATATTTTTTCCAAGAGCGAAATTAAAAATTCCAATTTATCCGTATTTTTTCTTTGGGCACATAGTTTACGTACGCGAAATTTGATAAAAATAGTTCAATAGTTTATTTAAAAAGTTGCAATATAATGTTAATTTTTAACATATTTTTTCAAAATTCCATGTCATATTATTGGCCTTCTAAAACAGAAAAATTTGCACTTTGAATTTTTTGTCTATGCCCATTAGTTCCCGAGATATTTGCGAAAATAGTGTTTTCAACCTCAACTTTAAGGGATATTTTTACCACTTCAAAGTGAATATTCGCCGATAAAAAAAATACGTGTAAAATATTTTTTCGAGTTCTATAACCAATAAAAATTTCAGAAAAATTGGCGTGTATCAATTGGGTGACGTCCCTTGTAAGATCGGCCCGGACAGAATTTGACAGACAAAAGGGTCCTCGGTGACCCGTATTTCGAGGTATAAGGTTATTCACAGAGATTTACACGTCGAACAACTTGAGCGCTGTAATAAATTCCTTAGTCGCGGCAAAGGTCTAAGTTCGCGTCCGAACATACTCCCCCCGTTGCGAGTGAAGCTGGCAATGTCATTGTTTGTTGACGAGTGGTGTATCGTGTGTTATAAGTATAAACAGTTTGTTACAAAATGGTACAATTATTTTAAATATTCTCGATTAATTGGATGTAATTGAGTTGTGTTGCGTTTCACGATGCCGTTTGCGGTCTTGACGACTCAGACTTCTCCATCACCACCGGGATGCATCTCCGTTACTCTGCCCAACTTCTATCGCATGCAGGGCCGATTTCTGTCCATCAGGATGACGATTGCGTCGATCTTTAGCTGCCCGCTAGATTTGAGCCATTTCTGGCGCATTCGTAGTTCATTTAGGTATTCCCAGAAGACTTGAGAAGCCTTACTGATAACTTTCCAGGAAGTCAGTCGATTTTCTGAAACTAAACGATTATCTTCCAGTAGCATCGTGAGCGGACGACTAATATGTGCGCATGTGTTAATGCGATAGGGTCGTTTAGATCTGACGAAATAGGGCATAACGATCGTGAGTTTAAAATTGCTTCGATTTCTATTTCAAACGTATTGACTTTTTCGAATGTAAAATGTCGTTCGCCTACAACGCGTCTGAAATGATGTTTAAATGACTTGATCACGACCTTCCAAATGCCTCCAAAGTGGGGTGTTGACGGTGGATTGAAATGCCACATTATGTTTTTGATTGTTACAAACTCGATTACGCATTCTTTAAATTCTGATGATCCAAATTGGATGAAGCCCGAAGGGGTCGAAAATTTTCCCGATTTCCGATAAAATGTCGAGTTTAGTCAATTTGACAGGGAAATCGAGTGATTTTACCGTGTACACGAGTTGATCCCCGTGCGCATACCATCCGATTCCTAGTCTTTATCATTGGATTTTTATCGATTGTGCACTCCGAACCGAGAAGTTTTTCATTAATATTGTGGAGAACGTGATTGTGATTCGAGGCGTATTGGCGGATGTTCAATCCGCCGCGTTTAAATAGTTCTACTGCCTCGTCGCGTATTTTGAGAACTTCGTCCAGAGTGTTTGCCTCTGTTAAGACGTCATTGACATATAGGTAAATAGCGTTTTAGGCTTTGGAGACATAGGGAAAATCGCTCTCGTCGCTCCGAGTTGTTGTACTGTACGGATCGCAAGAAATGAAGCGGATGATACACCGAAGGTGACGGTATTAAGTTCGAACGTTCAGACACGATTATTTTCATACCAAAATAAGCGTCGCTATTTCCGATCTTCCGGATGTATTAAAATTTGTCGGTACATCTTTTCCATGTCGGCAGTGATGACATGTATGTGTGCGAAATCGGAGTAGGTGATCAAGAAGTTTATTTTGAATTGTGGGACCGATCATGAGCCTATTACTTAACACAATGTTCTTGTCTGATGTGGCCAATGCGTCGTAGACGACCCGGACCTTGATAGTCGCGCTCGTAGTCTTTATCACGGCGTGATGAGGTATATAGTAACCGCTTACGGATTCGTCGTCTACCTGCGACGTGTGCCGGAAATTAATGTACTCTTGTATGATTTTCGCGTATTCCGATTTTTGCACCGAATCTGAATTTAATTTTTTCTGCAACGCACGAAAACGTTTGTAAAACAAGTCGTTGAGAGTCCCCGAAATCCCTATCACCGGATTGGAACGGTAATCGCACTAACAATAAGTATCGCCTGCTTTCGCTACGCGTCGTGGTTTGAGAATAGTGCGTTTCGCATAACGATTCTTCCGAAATTTTGTTTCCGCGTTCACGTTTTTTATTAACTAAAATTTGGCGATTTGTTCTTTGAGCTCTAATAAATTGCACATGATCTTTTAATTCTCCGCGCTATCTACCGTGTCGTCTACTATTATCCATCCGAGTTAGGTTTTCTGTAAAACGCAATCGCAGTCATTGCGAGATAAATTAATTTGCCCTATCAAGATTAACGATGAAGTGGCTCCAGAACAGATTAAAAGACTGACGGGTCGCAGTATATGAAACTCGGGATCGACGAGAAGTAAATTTGACAGAATATTGATAGATTCACACGGGAATCGTTCGTCCGCTACAGATTTAGTGATTTGCGGAACAGTTAAATACGCTAAAGACTTTTGAAATTCGTTACGTCGTGACCGGAATGTTATCTTATTAAGGCTCTTTGACATCGTAGTAATTTCGTTAATCGCGTTGATTGGAACTGAACACAGTGGCGTTGAAAACTTCAATTGTCTTGCGAGTTTTTCCATAACAAAGTGAGCTGTCGGGCAAGTATCGAGAAGCGCGTGGGCCTCCGCAAATGTTCCGTTTGCTGTCGAATGCGAACTATCACGCTCATCATTAACTGCGATCGGGAAGTGCGATACATAGTAGTTAATGCGATTTTTAATTCTCATTCAGAAGATTCTGATTTGACCGTTTCGTTCAAGGATTTTGACGCTGATGTTGACGGCACGGCGGATGTTTGTTGTTTCCCCAAATGATGAAGTAAAGTATGATGAAAATTCTCGCAGTGCTCACATCGCGACGATTTGCATTGTTTGCGGTAGGAACGAAGAAAGTTTTTCATAGTTCATAGTTCCTTGTGTTTAACTGCGTCCCACCGCTGCGATATGGTTAATTTACTAAATGTCGGGCAGTTAAGAACAAAATGGAATTGATTGCAATACGTACAAGTACCCGTATGTCAGAAAATATAAGTTTTTTACTTTCACACAATGCGTAGCGATTCGGATTTTGAGGTAAGTGCTCAGTGATTCAACAGAGTCCTCTTACCAGAAGGAATAAGATAGCTGAATCATTTACGAGCATTCACGACCAAACGCCATGTATCACGATGGAAAGTACATTCATTTCGGCCTCATTCATTTCTTTTCATGCTCGATTCATGGTAAATGTGTAACATCCTTGGAACCTAAGTTCAGTTTGTTACAATCACTAAAAGGTAAAGAGCGGCCTTTACCCCTAAACGACTCGATTTCGCAAATAAAGATTGTGGGATTCGTGTGGTGTGCGGTTAAGGAGTGAAATCCACAGGTCAATATCTTTCAACAATTAGATTTATTCAATAAACGATAAAACATGAAACTAACAAACAACTATAACAACAAAATAAAGAAAGTATATAGATTATAAATGATTAATTAGAATAAAGAAAAATAGCTTTTGAAATAATAGTAGTAATAGGAATAATAGAATTTGACAATTTAAACAATATGTAATAGATAATAATGAAATGAAATTCGCTGGTTAATACTTTATATTGGACCGTATCTAATTCGGATCTCTGATAAAGTTAACTTCGCTTTTCGTAATATTAACTAAATTTGATATAATTTATATATATTCGATTCTCGTATTCGAAGCTATCGCAATGACAAGATTTTACTTGATTAACACGCTTGTAATAATGAATCTGTATAGTCTACCGCCGCGAGGAATTCGACCTAAGTGAAATTCTCTAAGCGCACCTAAATACGCTGTCGCAAAAATTAGACAGATTTTACTACTATCTAACGTGGTGTAGTCGACTACGGAAAAGACGCTAAAGTGAGAACAGTATTCTTTTATTAACTCAAGTGACCAAAAATTATCTGAATTTAATGAATTACTATTCGGAACAGTTACTCTTTTATAATTCGACTCGACAACTAATTGTCCATGACCCTTTTAACCAAGACGAACACTGACAACCGAAACCAGATCGCTTAATTGGGGAGCTCTGCGTTAGTCAGCTACTAAAACGACCCACGACCAAGTATCTAAATGGCATATACCCGCGTGACCAATCAAGTATAAAGATTTGTTGCGGCTCTTGACAGCAAAAACTGTTCCTAGTTATTTTTATCAAAGAGACTTCTATCGTGCTCGACTGCGAAGACAGTTCTGATTTTAGACGGGTTTCGCTCGCCCTTTTATATTCGCAGGTTCGCCGAATTCCAGGAATTTCTGTGACGTCAGAATATCTAAATTTTCATATAAATTCGTTATTATACATTAATTATAAAATTGGATGGTTTAATTATGTTTTAAATGTCGCTCTTTAATTTCTGGCTAACAATTCGACATTAAAATAATAGTATAATGACAGTATGTATAAAGGTGTTTTACCGAAAAATGTATTTTCTGTCCTTTTCTAATCAACTGCGCACGAATTCTACGAGAGCTGAATCTATTCCGATTTACAGCTTTTTAGTTGAAGAAAATAATTGTGTATTCGGATTTACAGTTTTTTAATTGAAGGAAATAATTTTGGTTCCGGCCAAGGATAGTTTAATACTGGTTGATTTTACGTATATAAATTGATTTAGTTAATTAATTAATTTAATATCTAATAATGCCGTAAATAGAAATAGTATCTTTGTCCTTTCTAGGATTAGCGCTGATCTCAACGATTTCGGGCGAGCATCGCGGCACGTAGGCACATCGCAGCGTAACGGAAATTTCTCATACAAAACTATTTATTAGAATTATAATAAAATAATATATTATCTTGTTTTAATTATTCTAACTCAATATTCAATTACTTTTATGGGAGATATTACCTACTCTAAATCAAAATCATAAGATAATTAATATAAACGATAATATATATAGATATACTGATTACCGACTGTCGAATCTAGTATATTCGATAATAGATACGTGATGTATTGTCGGTAATTTTGGCAATCACTGTCGGTAATTAACTATTCTAGTCGGTGGGTACAAGATTGTCGTGATTTTGGCGATAGGAAAAAAAAACGTTTCCCCAGGGATGTTACAAATGTGCCGAACTTCATTCGTTCTCTTTCAGCGTTCTCACCTTCCCCACTCCGTGGCTAGATCCCTAGGAACACTATTCCTATCATAAAGTGTTCAAAGGCAAAATAGCGTCAGCTAATTGCGTTTGAAGACCCTTAAAAATACGTTGACGCTAACACATAGTATCAGTACCAAATGCCCGCGCACCAGACTCGATTTTACGTGTTTTTACCGCGCGCGAATCATGATCGGATCGACGTTTTCCTTCCATTACGGTATTGTCGCGACCGATATCTTGCTCGAACGTGACCGATCGGAACGAGGTTTCACGAATAAATGTGTAAAATTGATCTAACGTGGGAAGGACGTCTAAATTCAGTGTTTCTTCCCATTTTTGGCGGATTTACCCGGCAGCGCCCTTTCCATTACGCGAATAATGAAACCCGGATCCGGATCGAATCCCAACAACTTCAACATGCTAATATGTTGCCGAATCTCATCGATTAGTTTTGCGAGCCCCTTAGAAGTTGCCTTGGTCACTGAATTTATATAAATAATGGGGTCGTAATATTTCGTCACGAGTATACGCCGTTTCTTGTACGAATCGACTAAAAGGCGCCACGCGTTGTGATAATATTTAGAAAGCCATCCTAAAAAGCCATTTGTCGATACTTCTGTCGAATTTCGGTAGTTCGGCTACCGGAAATTTCAGGGCGCGTCACCCATCTAGTATTGTGGTATTATAATACCACACCGCGTTACCGAATGCGTCATTGATTCGCGCTGATGAAGTTCTGGTGGTTGTCATCGATTCGATTTTACTCGCAGCGTTATAGTATCGACTCACGATTTCATCGGTGCCATCCAGCTTTCTATCTCCTAATCGAATTAAGTTATTAATCATGTCCCGTATTTCTATAAGCTGATATTTCGATCATTTCCTTCTTATTCAGTAATTTTGCTCTTTGCGTATTTAAAATAATCCAAACCATTTCAAAAATGAAATTAATATTTTTCTATAATCCACATAATATTTATACACTTTAATAAGAAATAGCAAAGTATTACAACCATGCTGATTTCGATCGAACTCACAATGCATTGTCAAGTATTGTAATAATATGGATTTGGCGGTTTAACTAGCTAGTGGAAGGACTACGAAAAATGAAAGAGAGGGAGAGGGCGTTCCGTCCGGGACCTGCTAGTGGACTTATCAGTAAAGTAACCTAGCAAGCCTTTGTTTTAGACGCGGAGATCCATGGAAGGGATGGACAGGAACTATTTGTATGAATAGGAAGTCTCGTTGAGTACTAACGAGAATATCAAGTCTTGATCTTATGCACCGTTTAGTCGTCATAAGTATAGAAGAGAAACCGTCACAATGGAAATAAAGCGTATAATTAAGAGATATCAATAACAAAAAATAAATAAAAGCAAAATAAGAATTCAGAAACTCAGTCGTTAATAACGAAAAACATATAAAATTTATATTAAAACTGTAACCATATTGCTGTTCTATTGCAATAAGTGAACAGTAGAGTAATACATCACGCTCTAAAAATTCCTCGCTGATAAAAAATAAATTAATCATCTTTCTTAATATTATGTCTTTGCTCAACTCCTTACAATAGTCAAATTCGAAATCAGTAAACATAATGTCAGTTAGTCCGTTAAAAATTTTTCTCCTGTTTAGATGCCGTGTCACAAGCAACAACGGTCAACCTTTGACTTGTTTAATCACTCGTTCAAGCAGATGTGCCATCTGTCAATGAACTGGAGCCTAGGAGACTACGCGAGCCCAACTGGCAGACAGGAAGTGAAAAAATTACTGTTCAAGCCGTTTGGTGATTTGAGCACCATTCTAACCAGGAATCATTTGAAAGGTTTCCCACATTTACAGCAGATAATTCTATCAAGCAATGGTATAACGCACCTTAGTAGTGACATTTTCGCGGATGTTCCTCACCTTGTTGTTCTCGATTTACGGAATAACAGGGTACGTTTAGCTCCAAGGATTTTTGATAATACTTCAACACTTAAAGTGCTAAAACTGAGTAACAACTCAATTAATGGAATTGAATCCGGTACATTCGATCCTCTGACGAAGCTACAGACGTTAAACTTTTCATTGAATAACTTGACACAGCTTGAGTCCGGTATATTCAACAAACTCGTTTCTTTGAGATCTTTAGACCTCAGTTCCAACAACTTAAACTCTCTGCCAGAAAACATTTTCGCAATGATGGAAAATATGGAAGTGCTGAAATTAGACAACAACAGCTTTAACTCATTACCGACACATTTACTGAAGCAGAACACTAAATTGAAACGTATAAGTTTATGCAATAATAGAAATAATATGACTCTACCAGAAACATTTTTCGGAAATTTGACGCAACTTAAGGAGCTAAAATTAGAATATAACGGTTGGATCATGTTGCCGAAAAATATATTTTGGAGTCTTGAATCATTAGAAAATATCAGTTTGGGGAGAAATGATTTGCTGTCACTAGATGAAAGTGTTTTTTACCAATTACGCCATTTGTTGGAGCTGAACCTCAGTTACAATAAACTGACTACACTACCAGATGAAATTTTCTTCCGAACGGACGAATTGATACACCTAAATTTGGAAGGGAACCGCATCACTTCTATCAGCGCGTAAGTTTGTTATTACATGTCTACTATAAATTAAGTGTTTGTTCGGAAAGCGTTTCTGCAAATTGTTATAGGCTAATCCGTTTGTAGATACATAGTTCTTTTAATAAATAGGTGCTAAAAAGTCATGTAGGTGACAAACTTTTACTTCAAATGGAATTATACATATATTTTCGAATGTATTAACCAGTTAACTGTGGCGCCCTCGTTTGAGAGCGCGCACCGTTTTGTGTCGCCAGAATCGAGCCATGACGAGTATACTCGTCAATACACAAAATCGTGCCATTTCTCCATGACGAGTATACTCGTCAATCACAGTTAACTGGTTAATTGATATTGCTTATTATCATCTACAAAATTATATTAAGTTATTTCTACCAAAACGTTACATGCATATGATGGGTCTTTTGGAACAATTGATGTATAAACCCAACTGTCTGTATATGTATGTAGGATCGGAAATTATCGAGGTTGACGGATTAAGAAAGTTTTTCTTGGGAATAACAATAACCTAGTTTTAATAACTTAATAAGAATATAAAAATCAACAAAAGTATAAAGAATCAAGTACAGACAACTATTTGACAACTTTTCTGACGACGTGCTTCTTCAACGGTTACGACTGGACTGTCTCGCGACGCCACGCCGTTTTCCTCGTTCGTTACCAATTCCCGCGTAAACCGAAACAATTGCTATTCGATTCTTTGTTCCCTCGCTAATTTTCCGCGCCAAATCGTAATCCCGCCGAATTATCTTGGCGCCAACCGTCTACATTTCCCGCTCGCCCGATCGCGCCCGATCGTATTCGATGAAGCTCGAACTACCGATGCCTCATGTATGAACACATAGTGTGCAGATAATGTGTGTCTCTTGGCTGAAATTTATCACCCTATAATAATCATCGCTAAAAAAATCAAATTCGAAAAACACGTATCCCCTATTTTAATCCATAGTTTAATACATAAAGTTGCAAAAAATAGTTCAACATTTGGTACAAAAACTTAAGCAAAAATTATAAATTCAAAATATTTGTACAGTGGCACAACACACCGTACAACATAGGGTCACCATACCTCATAAACATTGAGAGTCAAAAAAGTCAATAATAAAATATACTTTACCACCACATTATAAACCAAGAGCGAAACCATCCCTCCTAATCCAAGTCCGCGGCCTGTTACAGGCCCACAATAAAATTTCTGGAAAAGCCCAAAAAATACCGTTTCCTTCGTCATCCCTACTGTCAGTTTCCTTCCTGTTGTGGTTATTTAGGTAAAGAAAAACAGTCCGGTTTAAAGAAAAATAGTATTTAATAACATAGACATATTGAGAACAAAACGAACAAAACTGACATTTTCACGAGTTTGTAACCGACTGACGAGACTTCTAATATAATTGAATATGAACATAAAATAATTTTCAGAAAAAAAATACACCGACTTCGAAATGCACTAAAAAGTATAAAATAATTTCTATTTCCTAATTAAGTAATTTCTATTTCATTCAATCATACAATTACGTAACAGATATGAATGAAACCTATTTACTAGTTAGGTAGTATATTAAATACATTTCAACCTTTTCGGGGCGGCACAAAATTAAAAGCTTTTCTTGAACATGTCAACATTTGGACAGCCGAACATAGGCAATGCTTGTATAGCTATTTCTTTTTCTGTACATATAACTCGGCAGCACGCCGCGAAGTATGTGTTAGTGCGTATAGAATGTAACTATGGTCTATCTAGCCCTTTGCGGACGGGACGGTTCGAAGTGAACCGTACCGCGGGGCCGAGTTCCTGCCAGGATAGTCATTAAAAATTGCCAGCGCATGTTTCTGCTTAAACGCGGTTTTCGTTCATAGCATTCCAAGTCAAATTTTGGACATATTATATGTACATGCACAGATTTACGTGCATGCACACATGTACGCGTTTCTCGGCTCTATCAGTTGTTTTCGCGGAACGCATAGTTAAGTTTCGCGGCCATAGCCACGCATTTACGTGGGACACATACGAGGTGTGACACAAAAGTAACGAGACTGGTCCAATAAATCATTGTACCTGTAGAATCAGTTCTCCGTGACATTATCACCTTCAAAGTAGTCCCCTTCAGCATTCACACACTTATGCATTCGACGCTGCCATTGCTGGTAACAATTCTGGAACGAGGTTTTTGAAAGTCCTTTCGGGAGATTCTCCGTTTTTGCCTACGCACAAAAATTTCCTATTTAAAGACGAACAGTTTAAGAAAAAGTTTCCAATTTTTTCCTTTCATTCCGAAAATATTATCAAAAGTATGATTTTAGCCTTTAACTTTGAGTGCTATTTTCACCCCTTTAATGTAAAAGATGGCCAATAAAAAAATACATGTCAAATATTTTCGTGAGAACTATCTTTCACATAAGTTTCATTAAAATTGGTGTATCTCGGTTCGATATGTTTCCTCGTAAGCTACGGTTTTCTTGTTTTATATCCTTTTCACTTATTCTTTAATAACGGTCTGGGACCTGCGAGTACTCCAAATATAGATGCATGCACTGTCGTGGCAGTCTCTTTAGTTAGTTCTAACTGTGTGCCCGTTTTGTAAGCATCGATTTCTTCAACAGTTCTTCACTGTTTGATTTCTCTTTATATATATGTATAAGAATTACTCTGATATACTCTACGCGTGTATTTTATTTCACATAACCCCTTAAGAAAGACAATTATAAAATATACACACTTTTAAAAATCTGAAATTTTCTTGCGATTAATATTTTAATAAACTGTTAAAGCAAGCTGGTACGTCCCCTACTAGCTACGATAGACTAGTTATAATAGACTAATACAACAAACGTTACTCTGTATTTGTTATTTTAATAACTTCTACGAAAACAAGAAATTTTGTTCAAGCCTTAATACCATTATTTATAGTTTTAGATAAGTTTTACTAACCCACTTTGTTATTGTGTTATTAATAAAAAAATACGAGAATGTTTATTAATTAATTTGTAAAGAAATCTTCAAGATCGCTATTCAAAAGAAGTTTGCAAAATATTAAATTATTTCTTTTTTAATTCTTATCATTGCAAAAATTATTACTCAAGTAAATGAAAGTGTATTTAAAAAATAGACCCATTCATAAAATAGTTGTAGAGTTAAGAACTCACGCGTATAATACATTATCACGACAAAGGGAAAAATATTGCGAAACCCGCGATGTTAAACTTTCATTTTTTAACTTGTATTGTTAAAATTGTTTTCAAGTCTCTCGCAATTTCATATGTGATTCATTATACCTATTTTTAAATAAAACACCTAACTTTTTGTATAATAATTTAGTGTTTCGACTTTACTTATTACAAATTTATATTACTGTGAAAATTACAGGACCCTGTTTCAAAACTTGAAATCATTGACAGTTTTAAATATGGGACGAAATCAATTACAAGTATTTGAAGATGTAATTCCTATTCTTCGCGCGTTGTCGCCGGTAAAAAGTGTCGAACTACCGAAAATATTCTCATTATCTTTTCTTAACAAAACATCTCTTGACGACATACCTCCTATCGGGGAGATACTTATATCACAGAATTTTTTGACGAAATCTTACGACCGGCTTTCATTCAATCCACATCTGCGTGTATTAAATCTCAGTTACAACAACATACCACAGATATCGGTAAGTTATAAAAGAAAGAATAATTCAATAACTAATATAACTATTTTGTAATTAAAGTATAAAAATAAAAAAAAGAATAAGAATAATGTAAGAATAATTAAAATAACTACTTTACTAAATAATTCGGTAAGACATAACGCTCATCAAACGTTAAAATTAAATAAATGATATTGTAGGATAGGATTGTTCGTTGCAGGATAACTCAAGAAGGACACTGACGAATTTCTGAACAAAAAAATAATACATTTATTCATATAAACATACATAGGCTCTTACAAAATCAAAACCACAAAGTTCCAAATCAAATTTACAAATTTCTAAGTTTCATGTTATACATATAATCATAGAAGAATTTACAGAACATAGCTTTTGGTGCTCGAACTTCATTAAGGGCGTCCGGTAGCTTCTCGTCCCAGGTTTTGTTCCCACGGAAATATCCAATTGAGTCTTCAAGTCATGGTTTTTGCGTTCCACCGGATTGGTTGCAGGGTGGTATACTGATGTGAAGTTCTGTTGCATGTCGAAACGGTGTGTGACCTACTGCATGTGTAACGACCCTGGAACCTAAGTTCAGGTAGTTACAAGCGCTAGAAGGTAAAGAGCGGCTTTTACCTCTAAACGACTGTGGTGTGCGGTTAAGGAGTGAAATCCAAAGGTCAATATCTTTCAACAATTAAATTTATTCAATAAACGATGAGAAATGAAACTAACAAACTACAATAACAACAAAATAAGAAAAGTATATAAATTATAAATGACTAATTAGAATAGGGAACTAAATAGATCTTGATATAATAATAATAATAGAAATAATAAAATTTGATAAATTAAACAGTATGTAATAGATAATTGTGAATTTAACGATATGAAACTCGCTTCTTAGTTAGTACTTTATATTGGACCGTAACTGAATCGGATCTCTGATAAAGCAAAACTTCGCATTCGTAGTATTAACTAATTTGATATTTGATTTTCATGTTCGACGCTATCGTAATGACACGCGTATAGTAATGAATCCTATCTAAGTGTAATTTGGCATCTAGATTTATATAAATGAAATTTTACAAAGTTAATAATGTTAGCGCTTTGTAATCTACCACCGCGTGGAATTCAACCTAGGTGAAATTCTTTAAACGCACCTAAATACGCTTTCGCAAAAATTAGACAGGTTGAACTACTATCTAACGCGGTGTAGTCGATTACGGAAATGACGCTAAAGTGAGAACAGTATTCTTCTATTAATTCAAATTCTTAGCACTGAGACTTCTAACTAGCTCGACTGCGAAAACTGTTCTGATTTTAGACGGGTTTCGCTCGCCCTTTTATACTCGCAAGTTCGCCGAATTCCTGGAATTTCTGTGACGTCAGAATATCTCAATTTTCATATAGATTCGTTATTATACATTAATTATAAAATTGAACGGTTTAATTATATTTTAAATATTGCTTTCTAATTTCTGACTAACAGTTCGGTATTAAAATAATAGTGTAACGGTGTTTCAGCGAAAAATATATTTTCTATCCTTTTCTAATCAATTGCGCACGAATTCTACGAGAGTCAAATCTATTCCGATTTACAGCTTTCTTTTATTGAAGGAAATAATTCTGGTTTCGGTCATGAATAGTTTGTTACTAATTGATTTTACATATATATATAAATTGATTTAGTTACTTAATTAATTTAATATCTGATAATGCTATAAATAGAAATCAGAGACAGAGAATAGTATCTTTGTCCTTTTCTAGGATTAACGTTGATCTCAAGGATTTCGGGCGAGTGTCGTGGCACGTAGGCACATCATAGCGTAACGGAAATTTCTTATACAAAACTATTTATTAGAATTATAATAAAATAATATATTATCTTGTTTTAATTATTCCAACTCTATATACAATTACTTTTATGGAAAATATTACCTATTCTAAATCAAAATCATAAGATAATTAATATAAATGATAATATATGTATATATATATATACAGATTACCGACTGTCGAATTTGATAGAATCGGTAATAGATACCTGATGTACTGTCGGTAATTGGCGACTACGGTCGATAATTGACTATTTTAATCGGTGGATAGAAGATTGTCGCGATGATGCCGGTAGAAAGAAAAAAGGTTTCCCCAGGGACGTTACACATGACGCCGTTGATAAATTGTGTTCCATTATCTACCCAACGGGAAGCTACGTCTTCAACCATGAGTATCAAGCAATTTTCTTTCTTGGTAGTTGACAGTGATTCAAAAAGATCTATTGACAGTACTTTGAATCTCTTCAGGTCTTTTGGTACAGTGTTCGTACCAAACCGGCTGGTTTGAGATTACCGGCCTTGTATTGTTGACACTTGACGCAGGATCGCAAGTAGTCGGCAACTTCTCGGCTCATCCGCGCTCAGAAATAACGGGCTGCAATTCAGCGAAGGGTTTGCTGGATTGCATAATGCGCTGCTGTAGGGTTATCGTAATACGTGTGTAGAATCCTCTTCCTCTTGTAAAACATTTGAACGGTTGGTGATTTGTAGCAATCCTTACATGAGTAGCGTTACGTTCCATCGGGACACTGCAAAATTGTCGCTGTTATGAGCGCTTTTTTTTTCTTGCCGATCAGAAGCTCAGTCCCAAATGGCTCTCTTCTTCGTTAGTTTCGTCAAGAGTTGAGCTGGCAGTAAAGTTTGGCACGAATCGTCTATAGCAGGAACAGCTTTGCAGAAAAGAGATCAGCTGCTTTCAAGTTCTTCGGAGCTTATGGGTCCCGTATCGCTTTCACCTTCTCAGCATCAGATAGAATGTCTTAAATAGTTAAAATGTGACTGAGGTACTTAAATCTAGAATAGCAGAAATTACATTTCTCTCTGTTCATTCTCAAGCCAAAATATCTTGATCTGTCGGAAACTGCCTTCAGGTCTCCTAAATGTTCCGTAAAGTCCGATGATAATACCCGTAAGTCGTATAAATTGATGAGTACGTTGTGTGATCCCAAACCTGTCTTCATCATCCATGAGCCGGTGAAAGGTCGCAGGAGCGTTTTTGAGCCTAAAAGGCATTCGCTTAAAACGGAAAATTCCAAAAGGTGACATGAAAGCGGTTTTATCACGGTTTTCTTCTCTTACGCTCATTTGCCGCTAACGAGACTGCAGGTCCCATGATTTCATGCAACCAGGCTTCTTTGCCGAATTGAGCAAATCATCAATTTGAGGCATTGGGTATGAATCGGTGACAGTAACAGCATTAAGTTTTCGATAATTAACACACATTCGTACGCCACCATCCTTTTTAGTACCAGAACAACAGGAGTAGCCTGGGGTGATTCACATTCTTCTATAATGTCCCTTTCCAGCATCTTATAAACTTCTTTATGGAGTTGATCAAGTCTCGCAGGTGGTGTGCGATAAGGAAGTACTGCGATTGCTGCGTGGTCTTCAGTATCTTAATGGTCGACTGTTTCTGCCGTGGATGATCCCATTGCACGAAATGAGTCCATTTTTGAAGTAACAGCTCCTGCTGCTTTATTTTTTTTCGGTGCAGGTGTCCGATGCTTCGCCTTCTTTGATTTCTTCTATTTCGATCGCATTGATCTTCAGTCAAATCATTTTCTCGAAGGATCGAAGACATTTATCGAATAATTTGTCGAAGCCAGGCCATTCGGTTGGAGCTTTTTCGATGGAAATTTGCATCGGCAACTCTGGGGTGCTTTCGAGGTATAGTTCGAGGGTGGTGTGGTCATCTTGTATCGGGCTTAATATCGATAGCGAAGATTTCGCCAGCTCTTAGATTTCCTCCCAATCCATTGCATTAGCCGCTTCTTGCTTCCCTTTCTGTCCCTTGTTTGAAGTTATTTCTCCAATTTCCAACTCTTCAATAAACTCAAAGTCAGTTTTCGGTATATCAACGAATTTCTAGCTTTGCAGTGGGATATTCCAAACAATTCTGGCATTATCTATGAAATCCATCCCCAGCAGGGTCCGGTTGTTTTTGCTTTCTGGAAACTCGATAAAGGTAGATTTCATCGTGCGCTCTCGCAGGTGAATGTCTAATTCGGTCTTTAGAGCATTCCACATGCGTGGATGGTCGTCCGCTAGCACAATTTGCATCTTCTTGTGCTCGAATTTGATGCCCTTCTTCTTAAGCAAGTCATACAAATTTTGACTTGTTATGGAGCATTTTGCGCCAGTGTCCAGGAATGCATGACCCTACTCGCCAGCAATAGATGGCTGAACGGTGAGACGAGGGGACATCATCGTCGCCGTATTAACAAAGTAGAAAGCAGCTTGATTTTGACTTTTGTTAGTATTTTTCGAGCAGTTAGGACACTTGCTCCTTACAAATCCAGCTTTTCCACAACTATAACAGTGTAGGGCTGTTTGTATGCGTTGTGGTTTGGCCTTTTCTACTTCTGGTGATGGTCGCAGGTCATTTCCTTTTGGCGTCGAAGTAGCCTGGAATCGACACTGGTTGCTGTGGATGCTTGTGTGCCTGAAACGTCCACTAGTGTTGCAGTGGTCACGATCTTTCGAATATGGAGCCACGAATTTATGTTCCACTGCACAGCAGTTTCTGGTTTCTTTTTCCCAGCCTTCAATTTCTTGAACCTGCTTGATTAGATCCTTGAAATTAGAAACTGACTCTCGCGGGATTTTGGTATGTAGTGATGAACGTAAAAGACCATAGATCATGTCCAATTGAACGTTTTCTCTGTGTGGTTCCGTCAGTTCCGCGAGTAATGTGCGTTTCTGTTGACGAATTCGTCCGTCGGGGTATCGTCTTTTTGCGTTGATCGGAACAGCTTCGTATATATCTGATACACTGGTTGTTATGGGGTGAACGTAGATTTTAATAATTCGATCGCCTTTTGCCACGATAAAATGTCATTTTTGAACACCTTTCCTTTTAGTAGAAGGGGTAGACTCTTTAAAGCGTTCTCGTCGCTAATATTTTCAATCTTTTTAAAAATGGAAATTGTCGATGTGACCGCGCGGACTTTTCCATAGTCGTACATTTCGGAAACCTGCCACGCTAGACAGGTTGCCTTCGGTTCAAGAAATCCAATAATTTTGAAAATTGGGATATAGACACTTGGACTAGGAAAGAAAAAGGAGTCTCCCTGGAGTCCCGGTCGGTGGAGGTGAAATTCTAGAGTTTAGAGATGGTGTTCCGGAGTTCAGAGTCAAAGGAGTCCTGGACATCCGAACAGGAGGAGTCGCGAGGACTCCTCTTATGTTTGGTGTCAACATTGTAAGATAGGATTGTTAGTTGCAGAATAGCTGAAGAAGGACACTGAGGAATTTCTGGACAAAACAAATAATACATTTATTCATATAAACGTAGACTCTTACAATATCAAAACTACAAAGTTCCAAATCAAATTTCCAAATTTTTAAGTTTCATGTTATACAATCATAGAAGAATTTACGTAACATAGTTTTTGGTGCTCGAACTTTACAATTTAATAATTTTCGAAAGTTATAGTAGAGGTGTCTGCAAGGTTCTTCCGTCCATTCCCTGGTAGCCGATCGACGGTGGAATCCTGCTGTTCTCTCCAGCCCAGGGCGACCAAGTTAGAACCTCTGTACTCTCCCGTATTGACCAACGCGTCCGAGGCTAACTAAACCTCGTACTCTCCTTTACTCTAATGGACGATCGTGGTAATCACCTCACTCTCTTCCAATGGAGCACCGCAGAAATCAGCTGCGTTCGCGGTCATGATAGCTATATTTGTATTTCTACGTTGCTAAAGACCAACGGGCAATCAACAAAGTCGCGTTTCTTTGCACAGTTCGCTTTCGCAACATTGCGAACGATCCTCGAGCTCGCTATCAGCGTTGTCGAAATTTCGATTCGTTCTTCGACGCGAGGCGCTCAATGTTGTTAGAATTTTAAAATTATTATTAGCACAAAATTTCGGGAATCATTTAGCATTCTATTTATTGGAATAATTTCGGACACCAATGGCTCTTTCTAATGTGGAGAAAAGAACATAGACCGTTAAATTTAAATGACATAAAGACATGGCTGTAGTTACAACTGTCTAAATGTTCCAAATTTCCGAATTCTCATATTCTACAGTTTCTAAACTGGTAAATTTTTTGAACTTCCAAATACTTAATTACCAAATCTAAATTTTTAAATTTGTCACTTCCTAAATTTTGAAATATTATTTAAACATGTCTAAGACGTTGGTACCAGTCGTAAAGATTTAAACCAAACTAAACGGAAATTCAAATTATTGTATGACTGATTTCACCTAATCCGATACAAATTTAGTTCAGTAGATTTTATAGAGAGATAAGTGACCAAGAAATATTATATGTGTCGTGGTTTTTGGGCAAATAAATCAGTTTATGTCTGAAAGAATAAAAGGAATGTTTAATATATCAGAAAGGCGGTACAGAGATATTAATCACGGAGCCACATACATATAGAATCGACTGACGCAATCGCCGTAGACCCGCCGAAAATTGACGATCCGCGACTACCAAAGCAACGAACATACCGAATATTACCCGTAGCCGAATCAGCATAATAAGAAAATAACAATACTGTCTTTGAAACAAATCGTCACAGCACCTACGATATTCAGCGAGGCAATTAATTACTCTTTCTCACAATCAGCATTTACATCTTATCGTGCAAATATAATATAAAATGGTTTAATGACAACGATATGATGATATTAAGGACCACACGGCATCAAGATTAAGGAAATAAAGGCGAGAAATAATAACAAAAATTATAATACAAATTAAAATAATCGATAAAAGATCAGTTAATTAGTAACCAAAGCTTATACTTGAGAAATTACATTTTAATTCTCAATCTAAAGTACTGTAATTCTAAATTAATTTCTAATCTTATCAATTTTAAGAATTACTGTAATTTTGTTCGACATTAAATTTCGAAGTAAATTTTTACTGTTATTAAGATGCAATTAAATTACAAACTTAATTTTAATTTGCGATCAGAAAGAGAAATAAATAAATTTCCAATTACAAAATTAACAATCATTCAGTTAACAAGTTAGAGATAGTTCTCTATCGTAACGTATTTAAATATCCTGTATAACTAAAACATTCAGTTCTTAATCGAAAAATTGGAAGTCGCAGATGCCTGTCGCAGATAAGATTTTAATAAATATTTTGGTCGATTTTCTACGTCATTTATTCGTTGCTTTGTGCATTCAATTTTATTCTATTTATTTGTTTCAAGTTCTTGTATTGTATTTATTTGTTTCAAGTTCCTGTATTATATGACTTTTTTAGACTAAAGATTTGATATTTATACAAAATAACATTATATTGGACCTACGACATAACAAAATCCAACACATTCAGCTCAACACAAAGGAGGAAACGGGGAATTACGAAGCAATAGAAGGACACATAGAAATATTAGTCGCTAATAATCCTATAATATGTGACTGCAATTTGTATGACTTTCTTTATTACTTGGACGAAAAAATGCGCCCTGCTTTTCAACAATTTGTTCATATAATGCCAGAAAACTTGACGTGTAGTGGACCAAAGGGGACGAATGGTACAGTTGTGAGCAAATTACAATGGAAAACCTTTAAATGTCCAAAATCAGAATCATGTCCAACCAAGTGTTCTTGTTGGAAAAAACCAAACAAGGAAGTATTTTTAATCGATTGCTCCTACAAAAATTTAACGGCAGTACCAACGAACATGAATGGTATTCCTTATTATCGTAGCGAAATAAATCAATCTATTGGAATTCCGCTTTTAACGAAATTACGTCTTGCGAACAACAACATCAGCGATGTGTCTGTGAAGGAATTACCATTGAATGTGGAGGTATGTAAAGTATGTGTTTCTGTGGGAATTTGAATTTTAGTTATTATGCACGTGAAATTGTTATATATGATCATATTTATGCTAATATTTGTCACGATTATATTAACGTACGTTCCCACAAGAAACTAACAAAGTCACTGAGGACCTTTAAGCGACCAGAGTGTACTTTAAACTTACTAATGCTTTACTAATATTTTAAATAATTTTAGCATTCAGTAGACAGAAGAGAACGTTCGTTACCGTTATCATTTTAGTTCTCCACTTAACTATATCTGTTTCAATATAACAAGCTAATATAACACCATAGTGCAGATTCTAAATAGCAAACATTGTTTTAAAATTAACACAATTGAGTTAAAAGTATTAGCACAATAATTCATGATGTCTAAGTACATTCAAACTAATTATTCTTATCCTAAAGTTTTCGCGCGTGCTTCACATTTTTTGTGGATTTCACTCATCATATCTGAAATGTAAAGTATTCTCTACATCTAATTGTAAGATAACTAAAGTAACTCTGCTGATGTAAATCTTTTCACACGTTTTTATGAACCTCTTAACAAATTAATAGTTTTAATAGTTTAATAATTAACGGTTTCAGGTTTTGGAACTGCATAATAACAGCATTAAAAGATTAAAATCAGAAGTTATACAATATTTAAGATATTCTACGACTCTAAAAATGCTTACACTACATGGTAATCCATGGATATGTGATTGCGACTCAAGGGATTTCGTAGACTTCATCCAGTCACAAACTTCTAAGAGGATTCTGAATTTATCAATGATAGAATGTAGAGATATCAGAATTCCCATACTAAAGATAAAAATGGAAGATCTCTGTCCAAACAACGTTATGATATTAATAGTAGGTGCAAGTTTCGCTGTTATTATTGCTGCATTAATCATTAGTACTGTAATAGCATTATATTATCGATACCAGCGAGAGATCAAGGTATGGTTGTATGCTCACGAGTTCTGCTTATGGCTGGTAACAGAAGATGAATTAGATAAGAATAAGTTGTATGATGCGTTTATCAGTTATTCGCATCATGACGAAGATTTTGTTGTGAATGAGCTTATAAAAAAGTTGGAAGATGGCCCTAGACCTTTCAAACTGTGTGTGCACTTTCGTGAGTGGCTGGCTGGGGAATACATACCAACCCAAATTGCTCGTTCTGTCGAAAATTCAAGACGGACGATAGTAGTGTTGTCAACTAATTTTCTAAACAGCGTTTGGGGACGGATGGAATTCAAAGCAGCACACTGTCAAGCTCTCAGTGAAGGTAGAACAAGAGTGATTTTAATTCTGTATGGTGAAATCAACGTTACTGATAACTTCGACCCAGATCTTAAGGCGTACTTAAACATGCACACATACATAAAGTGGGGAGACCCTTCATTCTGGGATAAACTACGATACGCTCTACCACATCATCCAGAATTAAAAAGTAATTATAGTTATAGGGAAACTGTTTCGGACACATTTGCTTTAGATGTAATTAGGCAGCAGTAAGAAAATAAGGGGGAAAATAAAAGAAGGTTCCGAAATTATACAATCGTATGTAACTGATGTGTAACTTTTTTATACGAACGACTCTATTTGAAAATACCACGTTTCCAAATAAAGTTACAAGAACATAAAAAGCAGATAATTATTAGAAATCTACGTGCAACCGTTCCATCCCATTTGCACTTCATATGTGTATATTTACGTCACGTAAAAGCACATATACCTACTGTGATGTTTGGGAAACTCCTATGACAGACCATCAGGTCATCCCTAAATTGTTCATACTATCGTCCTGTTCTTTTACGTGAATTTTCCTTTTAGAGAACTTTACAGAAATATAACAGAGTATATCTCTGTTATCGAAACGTTGCATTGTAGAGAATAAATATACAGCTAAGACGATACTGAATAACTTTTTCCATTACAAAAATGTTGGTTGTACAATGAACTTATTAACCTAGCAGCGGCAACGCCTATTGTTTAGTTGCATCTCCACGAATTATAATACATTACGGTTTATTTTACAGGTAGCCCTCCTACAACACGGCATCTTATAACACGGTTTCGCTATAACACGATTCATAAATTGCGGAAACCCTCCGACAACTCGGCATCCTATAACACGGTTTCGCTCTAACACAATAAGAAAATTACAAAAACATTTGTACAACAATGTACTTCTACGTATGTTGCGGAAAGTATTTCTTTTCGTCTCTGTAGCCTGAAAACAAAAGTGTCTCACGCTGCTGATCGGCAGTTTGCGTCTAGCCACGGTGGAGTGTGTTAAAGTGTTTCGTTTTTCAGATATTAAGTTTCAGCTCCTAGCCATGTCCGATAAAGATAAAAAAATAACATTTAAGAGGAAATTTATTTCTTTGGAAGTAAAGATACAAATCTTGGATCGTCTTTTGAAAGGAGAAAAAGCATCTCACATTGGGAAAAGTCTTAATTTGAATGAAGCAACAGTCCGGACAATTAAGAAAAATGAAAAAGAAATAAGAAGTGCAGTTGCTGCAGGATCTTCAACATCCGCAAAACGTGCAGCTCGCCCCCGAGCGCCAATAATTGAGAAGATGGAAAAAGCACTCAGCATTTGGATTGATGATAGTTGTCAAAAAAGAATTCCATTGGATGGTAATATCATTAAACAAAAGGCACTCAAAATTTACAAACACCTTAAAGAACATGGAGAATCCTCTGTCAACCCAGATTTTGTGGCAAGTAAAGGTTGGTTCGAAAAATTCAAAAAGCATAAGAATTCAAGGAGAATCTGCGTCGGCTGATCATGAAGCCGCTAGGACGTATCCAGAAAAAATTCAAAACATTATAAAAGAGCAAGGATACACATCAGATCAAGTTTTCAATGCTGACGAAACTGGGCTTTGGTGGAAAAAAATGCCCAGTAGAACCTTTATATCCAAAAAAGAAAAAACTGCACCCGGATTTAAGGTGTCTAAAGATCGTCTAACGCTCCTTTTGTGCAGTAATGCGTCGGGAGACTTTATGACAAAACCCTTACTAGTTTATAGATCTTTAAATCCTCGTGCACTTAAAGGCGTAAATAAAAGCACCTTACCGGTATATTGGAAAGCAAATCCAAGAGCTTGGGTAACTGGAAATTTATTTAAAGATTGGTTTTTAAATTGTTTTGTACCAAATGTTGAACGTTATTTAAGGCAGAAAAATTTGAGCTTCAAGGTGCTATTACTATTAGATAATGCTCCATGTCACCCACAAGATTTGAATCATCCCAACGTCAAAATACTATTCCTACCACCTAACACTACTTCGTTGCTCCAACCATTGGATCAAGGGATTATTTTTACTTTTAAAACGTATTACATCAGAAGAGCATTACATTGGATTTTAGACGTAACCGATTCAAAATCAATTAATGGAATGGAAGCTTGGAAGAAATTTTCAATTAAGCATTACATCGATATCATATCTTTGTCGCTAAAAGAACTGAAAACATCAACATTAAATGCGTATTGGAAAAAGATATGGCCCTCTTCAGTTCAAATAGAAAACGTGTGTGAATCGTCAGAAAATGACATTGGTTGTATATTAGAACATGCTAAGTCAATTGGAGGCGAAGGTTTTGCGAAAATCTGCAAAATTTGCAGATTTTGCGAAGGATATGGCTATTGAGGACGTTCAAGAGTTATTAGTGGAAGAAGAAGTTGACGAAGCGGATTTGATGGAAATGGCATCCGAAGCCGTAAATCAAATCGATTCTGAGGACACTAGCACTGATGAAGATTGTGCAGTTAATAATTTAACGTTAAAAAAATTACAAGAAGGCCTAAGCTTAGCTGAAAATCTCGAGTCATTTTTTTTTAATGCAGACCCTTCCGCTGAAAGAAGCCGAAAATTTAAAAGGGAATTACAAAACTGTTTAGCTCCATACCGAGAAATTTACAATGACCTCGTAAGAACCAGCAAGCAAAGCAGAATTACAGATTTTTTAAAGAGAAAAGAAGATATAACAACTTTAAATGAAGAAAATGGTTCTGAAAGTGAAGGCGATATCATTCTACCAAAAAAACGTTCTCGGTTAATTGTAGTGAGCAGTGACGATGAAGAAATTTATTAAATTAAACATGCGTTAAATGAAAATAATATTTTTGTTTCTTTTTTTCTTTTTTTTTTGTTTTGTATTGTAAATACATTATTACTTTTAATAAAAATTAAGTTGTTTGTATAAAATTAAAAAAAATATTTATTTTTAATAAACCTTCGGAACGTAACCCCCCTTTTTGTACTGATTCTGGGTCTCATACAACACGGTTTCACACAACACGGCACTTTCTAAGAACCTATCTACCGTGTTATAGGAGGGCTACCTGTATTTTACATTTTTACAAATACCAGATGGCTGGCAATTTGTACCAGGGACAGTGCCCAAACTACAAATCACTAGCATGTTTATTGCACGCAAATCAACAAGACCGTTTTTGAGAGTTAGTTTATTACTTAATACGGCAATTAGAATATTTTAGATTTTTTGAAGTCCTCAGCGGCCAATTGCCCATGCCATAAACATGAGTTTCCGAAGGGTCGCCAAACTGACCCTGGTGACTGTCATTCCCGTCAGGTAATCGGCACCCATACCCATCGGAAACTCCATCAAATTTTGTTTAAACATTCACCGTTACGGCTTCCACTTCCACTGACACTTCCTACTTCCTACAAATCGCGTTTCGGACGCAAGGAAGTAGGGATAGATCAGTGGTGCCTAAATCCAATTGGTCAAGAAAAAATGACTGATCAGGCGAAAAGGTGGAAGCACACACCTTTCTTGTAAGCAAATAGAAAAGTCGTTTTCAGTTATACGTTAAAAACTCAAAGAGAAACATCATCTCTTCAACCGGGAAACATCATATTTCTGCGTTCTTTTCTCAAGTCCGTACAGTTTCATTTTCATTCATAATTAAATACTTACATGTATTTCACAATCGCAAATCTTGTATTTTTCTGTTTACATTAATCACACCCCAAAATATTTCCTACCTCTGTAAAAGGTCGTAGGAATTTCACGAAAAAACACCTATTATGCGGTGTATATCTTCTTTTTCGGAAGATCAGGGTTGGTGGAACGACGTAATTATAGAGATATATTTTCACCAAAGTAGGACTTCTTTTAAACAATGAGTGAGTCCGATATTTTGTGAATTTAAAATAGACAAGAGTTAATACATTAGTTAATCATTAGGTTTAAAACTTCTTTTGATGAATAGAAATGTTATTTTTCCTTCAAAATGTGCGAATTTGTTGTTTTACATCTTCGTAACAAGTGACAAGAACGAGTGATACGTATTTGTTTAAGTCAGTAAAAAATAATTGGTTTATCCCTTATCTGTTAATAAAGTATAACATATTGTTGCGGTGTGAAGCGAGCCTCGCGATTTATGAAATGAAGCTGGTCCTGACCACGAATTGAAGCGGTCTGCGGAAGTCGTCAGACGGGACGAGTGGATCGAGTGGTCAGAACTTCCGGTAGCTGAGAGCAACCTCGGTGTTTCAAAACTAGAACTACGCCAGATGTCAAGACGAGCAGACGCGTTAGCTCTTTATAAAAATCAGTTTCCAAGTTCTTGTTAATAGCAGTTTGTATTTTGAAATAAATTATGGCAACACGTGAGGGAACTCCTCGGCGCAACAATATAAATAATGCATAATAATGTACAATGTATTCTTAATTACTTAATTTGTTATTGGACTTAACTTTAACGTAGTAGCATTCTGTTAGCAATTACATTGTCACGATGCAAACGTGCTTGTTCGCGATTACAGTTGTAGTATCGCGGATCGCGTCGAGGAGAAAGAAAGAACATTATCGCGATCGTTAAAAAACAAAAGCGTGCGCGTGCAGGTTCGGACCTGAAAACCGCGATCACGGCAGAGCTGTGTAAAATCTCGACCTGCGAGGTGCGGTCGACGCGTTTTCCGAGTTTTTCGTCCTGCGAGAAGCGGTCATGTGTAAATTTTGTGTTTTTTTATATTTCTCTTGTATTTTTCTAAATATATCTCATTGTCCTTTTTTGTTTCCCGTTAATAATTGCGTCCAATAATTATTATCCCACACAGTCAACTGTGTCATTCGAATCCATCGCTCTCGTATCTAGGCGCGCGCTATTATCACGCTTTGATTAATTAGTGACTTATATTAATAATTCGAAAACTAAGTTTCAACAAATATTTTAGTAAAGGGAAAAGTTGTTTTGTATTACTTCAGTTATCACCCCGAAAATTATATGAGACGCGAGTTTCTCATAAATCAATAAATAAATCAATTCCTGCATACGTTTAATTTTAAAAATGCAGAAACAACTTATATTAAACTTACCCATTGATCCATAAAAAAACTAGCTTTGATAAATAGTATTTGTGTCACTGGGTAGATCCACCGATCAGAGCATCAACAGTTCATGTCCTGGCAGGGTCAATGAACTCTCAATTTATTTCACTGTCTCTTTCTAATAACTGCACAACATAGGCACGACCGGTAAACGGGTCGAATGAAAAAGCGTGAACGATTCTCCATAGGTATGTATGTTTAACACGTTCCGTGCCACGTGTACATGCACCGGTGGTACACGGTAAACTTGATCGTCAGGCCACGTGTACCACCGGTGGTACACGCAGTCATATTTATTCAATGCGCTGAAAACATATATTTTATTACAGATATAATTCTGTAAACTATATTTCTACCTAAAAAATGAAGCATTATACAAGATGCAGTATAGAACAAAACACATAAGTTTATTTAATTGTTATATATACAATAATTAATAATTACATTTAATGGTGCATTTTGTTGAAGCAAGGGAGGCATAAAGACGGCTTTTTCGGGCAATCGCTGCAAAACGTTATTACTCTTATAGTTTTTTGTCTTGCTACTTCAGTACCGAATTTTTTTACATTTTTTTTATAGCAAGAAATGAAAATAAAATAATAAAAGAAAAATAATAGTAATAATGAAGTAAATAATAGAAACTTGTTTTCCAACAGAAACAAATGAAAAACAAAAAATGTTATCTCCGTATATTTACCTACTCCTTCTTTTATTAAATAATTTATTTTATTTCTCTCGTTTTTTATTCAACAAATTCGAGTGCAGCAGATTTTTTACTAACCGAAAAGTTTCGAACTGACTGACTTTTGCACTCGAACTGATCGCAGCGCCACGTGTACCACCGGTGGTACACGCAGTCATATTTATTCAATGCGCTGAAAACATATATTTTATTACAGATATAATTCTGTAAACTATATTTCTACCTAAAAAATGAAGCATTATACAAGATGCAGTATAGAACAAAACACATAAGTTTATTTAATTGTTATATATACAATAATTAATAATTACATTTAATGGTGCATTTTGTTGAAGCAAGGGAGGCATAAAGACGGCTTTTTCGGGCAATCGCTGCAAAACGTTATTACTCTTATAGTTTTTTGTCTTGCTACTTCAGTACCGAATTTTTTTACATTTTTTTTATAGCAAGAAATGAAAATAAAATAATAAAAGAAAAATAATAGTAATAATGAAGTAAATAATAGAAACTTGTTTTCCAACAGAAACAAATGAAAAACAAAAAATGTTATCTCCGTATATTTACCTACTCCTTCTTTTATTAAATAATTTATTTTATTTCTCTCGTTTTTTATTCAACAAATTCGAGTGCAGCAGGTCTTTTTACTAACCGAAAAGTTTCGAACTGACTGACTTTTGCACTCGAACTGATCGCAGCGCCACGTGTACCACCGGTGGTACACGATGTGATAACTGCTCTAAACAAGAGAACTACTTATGTATTGATGATATAATGAAATATTGTGTGATAATATATCGATCTTTAGTCAAAATATCAAATGGCCTGAACGACAAGTCAGGCAAAAATGGCTTGGCACGGAACGTGTTAACAATTCGCTATATTTGAATTGAAATTATATTACATTTTATTAAGCGACATTGTTGAATGGTCCACGGATCTCGGTTTCGTTCTCGATCGCGAGGCATACGTCGCGAACGGTTGCCATGAAACAATGATGTGTTGAACGACTGCGACTTCGATCAACAGTCATCGTTTATTGTCGAACGAAATGTGTCGAAATAAAATGTATCGTTGTTTTTAATCGAAAATTCTGTTTTCTTGTTTTCAAGATAGTATAGTTTAAATTATTTATGAATATTCGTTCACGTGTTTTCATTCGTGCTATTTACGTGTCGAACTCATAGTGAAAATTAGTGCAAATTAGTGAAAAATGAGAGAGAAAAGTGATAATGAGAACTAATAATGAAAGATGAAAGTGATAGGTGACAATGAAGTTTCTTGAGAGTTTTTTGAGAGTTTCTGTATGGTGATTTATTTATACTAACAATAGGGATCGGTGGATCGACCAGGTGACAAAGATGCATTTTCATCGTGATTATTTGCGGTTCAATAGGTGAGTTATATTTAAATTTGTTAATTATTCAATTCAAATTTTTATTTGTTGAATAGAAAAGTTATTTATTTTTTTAAAAATGAGAATGTTCTTATTCATTATCATAATATCTAACGAGAATTATTTTCCATATTATATCTATTATTTCTTTGCAGTAACAAATAAACGTATCGAATAAATTCAATTTATTCTGATTACGTGAGTAGGGACTAATTTTGTTATTTCTTATTCATGAATGAATGATAGTTCAACAATAATCCAAATTTTTGTATTCATTATTCGATGTAACTTTCATCTAACAGCTTTCTATTATATCGACGTTATACCGACGTAGTATCGATACATTTGTTCACGACGCCGATCGGCCGTCATATTCGAAGTTACCGCTCACGCTGTCGCGCGAGTTATGTGACCACCTGCAGTTCGGCCTTATCGCCACCGGCGGGATGAGGCCCCGCCATAGACGAAACAAAAGATAAGAGCCGTGGGTACCATCGCCTCGGCGACGAGACACTGATTCATTATTAATTAAGCCTGTGGCCTGTACGAACGGACAAAAGAATTAAAAGAGACGTGCTTATTTCAAAATATTGTGTTTTTGTTCTAAAAACCATCCGATCATCCAGTAATCGCGCCTGG